ATAGGGTTTGTCCTTCAAGAACGGGCGTGTTCTTGCAGGTTTGTCAGTCACGATTGCACAAGTCAGATTCGGCCATAGTGTAGGGTTTGGAAATCGGGGAGATTTCACAAATAGGTCGTGGAGCAGAGGATTGACTATGGATCTTGCAGGTGATATCTTGATCAGCTCATATCAAGTGAAGGTTCATACAAGAAGAAGAAGATCTTAGTGATAAGGTTCTATCTTTATATTGTAACCTTGTAAACAACATTTAGCACATTGAAATAACAGGTCTCAATTTCAGTTTGGAATTGAGAGGGAGACGTACCCACACGTGAGGATGATAGTGGGGAACTTCCTTACCAAACTTCCCATGTAACATTTTCTTTCTCTCTTTCTCTTTACGTTTTCCACACATTTGTGATTCAATTGGTCTGCTGGTTTTTCTGTTTAATGATACAATAGTGGTACAAACCCTTTTGCTAAACCACCATTATTGTTGATCATCGAACAAGCATACGCCAATTGTTCGACAAAAGTGCTTGCAAGTTTTTGTTCATTGGAAATAGCATTCTTGTGATAAGCGCATTGAAACGTACATTAATTTGTGTTAAATTTCATCTATTTCATCTTAATAAAAATCCAACAAGTTTATCGCATGTCTAGTTTTCTAGTAGTCTGTTCAAAATAGACGAAAGTCAATTCGGGACCGTGTTTTTCCGCTATTTTTAATCAACTTTGATAAAACATTTTAAATCCTTGAATAATAAGGAGGTTATCTATTCACCCTCCCCCTCCCCCTCTCGATCACTTGCCACACCGTCTAACAGTAATAGCCCCTAGAGGCGCCTCCATAAAAGAATCCAGAGGCCTGCTACAGGTGGTCATATTGCATGTTACGGGTTGTAGCAGCCTAGCTGTTACAAATTCCCTTTTTCTTTTGTTTCATCTCTCTCGTATTTTTTAATTCCTGATATTTTTTTTTGTAAAGAAAATCCCCTAGCATCAAAAGGGGCACAAAATTTACTCTTGTAATCATGGGATTATTAGCCTTATAGAGAAGCAACATCTCAGGCCCTAGTTTTTAATTTACTTTACAAAGCTTATTTCTTTGCAATTTTTCTTTTGGTAAGTATTATACTCAATAACTTCATCGAAGCTATTTTATTCAAGTATTTTTGCTTTTGATTCAAGATCTTTATTTACTTAGCATTGTTGTTACTATTTTTGTATCATGTATGACAATGCCTTATTTTTTCTGATTAAATATGTGTGAGTAGTCTTCTAGGGACTATGGGTCATGAGGATTTCCTCATGACAAACCTCAAGTGAATCCTCTAGAATTTTATAATGAAAAGCAAAGTTAACAATTATTTTAGAATTTTGAGTTTTCAATGCAGATGTCGTTTAATAAAGTAAAGATATTTCAAGTATCGATCATACACTGAAATAGTGTGTTTTGGTACCCGAAAGCAGGATTCTAGACAACTGAGTACGAGATGAAGAAAGTGTCTCGAACGCAGTTAAGAAAGTCGCATTTTTATAGTTGTGGGGAATTAACCTCGACAAATAATTTGGGCTAACAAAAACGGACATATAATTTTTCTGAGACAAGACAACAAGCTGGCGAAAGTAGGTGTTGTCCAATTTTATTTATTTTTCTATAATATTGATTTGTTTCTCGTAATAAAACAAGAGGTTCACATGAGTCTGTTTAGATAAGAATCATGTACCCTAGGTCCTGTCTTTTTAATATAATTTTTATTTGTTAAATGATTGTTTGATTCCGTCTTAAACCAAATTTTGATCGCTTTACCTACACAGTGATAAGGTAGAATTTAGTACCCCAAATACTTGATCTATGTGGTACGACAACCTTATTACTTCGATACGACAATGCACTTGCAATGTGTCACTCGTCTGAGGGACTCGGTTAAGAATCTCATCAAACATGTTCACATAGAATACCCCCCAAAATAGAATTTCTCACTCCCGTGAGCTTTCTCTCACCCTAGAGAAACACTAAAGCCTCTGAAAACCCCTACCATCTTAGGGTTTCTACGCATCTGTATTTTTTTAGCAAGTACACTTTTCAACCTCATTTTTTCATGTGTACCAGATTTTGGTAATTTTAAGAAAGTTTTGTATTTGCATTAACTACAATAGAAGACATTCATCATGTGATATGAAAAAATGACCCCCCATCTTGTGATTCTTCTTGTAACATCTCAAACTGCTTTCAAGATTACCAACTGACTCCACAAATCAACACTGGTCTTTTTATCATGCTTTGTTCTTATTCACACGTTTTCCGGGAAACTTCACAGAAGGTCACCTATCCAAATACTATTCCAAGTCAAGCACACTTAACTATGGAGTTCTTATTTGTTGGACAACCGAAAAAGAAGATGCATCTTATTGGTATAGGTAGTATCAATCAATCCTTATAAGTCTTTCTTCAACCATGCAGTCATAATCCTGCTCAACCTTAAGATCTCTCTCATTCTGATGTGAATTCAGCGACCACTCTCTTCCCTCTTCGGCCTCAGGTGTTACATCTACTTTCCACTCTTTTCGGCCTCGGGTGTTACATGCCCACCAGCTTCCACTTGGTTCGCCCCTGAACCACATCGTACTGGGAGATGTCTGGCACTGATACCATTTGTAACATCTCGGTCTCCTTTCAAGATAACTGACTAATTCCATAAACCAACATGGGTCTTTCACTATGCTTTATCCTCACTCACACACTTTCTGAGAAACTTTCCAGAAGGTCACTCATCCAAATACTACTCCAAGTCAAGCACACTTAACTATGGAGTTCTTATTTTTTGGGCTACTGAAAAGAAGATGCATCTTATTGATATGAGTAGTATCAATCAATCCTTATAAGCCTCCTTCAACTATGCAATATCATTTATGCACAGCCTCAAGATCCATCTCATTCCGATGTGAATTCGACGACCACTTTTCACCCTCTTTGATCTTGGGTGTTACATTGACTCTCCTCCATTTTCAGCCTCAGGTGTTACACTTCCACTATATATTCATAGATATTTTGGCTTTAATCTGACCTTAATGCCTTTGATCGTTATGTTTTGTATGGCCATTCATGGCCTTGTTTCTTTTTGGTCTGGGATACTAATGTGAGACTCATGTCAATATTTTTTATATGACTTAAGGCTAAGTCATATTTCAGCCTTACCGTCGATTTGACCTCATAACATAATGTCATCACTCAAATGGGGAGGACGTACTGGTTATGCTAGATATCTTCATCCATCATTCGTTCTTTCTATGTGGTTATTATCAAGTGGGTCGAATATGAATGTGGGGTATCATGTTTATATAGACAAAATATATAAATAAATCTTAAATTAAGTCATGACAGTTGACATTCATGATGTTCATAGTCTCTTAAGCACGAGGCCAATAAGAACAAAGTGATTTTAAGAAGAAGTCATGAAATTTTACAATCCCTCAAGCATGAGATTTGTAAAGACAAAGTAGTTTTCAAAAGAAGTCATGAAGATTCATAATCCCTCAAGCACGAGGTGTGTAAGGACGAAGTGATTCATCGACAAAATTCTTGAAGACGATGTAACAATGTTGCCATATGGGTTTGATATTGAGTTTAGTTATGGTCATCCAAATAGATTTGATGGTTGAACTTCTGATCAATGGATCTATTTAAGAGATTGTGTTATTAATGATGAAATAACAAAAAATTCATAGGGATGAGCGAGTTAATATGAGTAGTCTCCTGATTTGTGAACTTACAAGTAGAGTCATTGATATTTTGTCATACCAATGATGACTATAAGCTATTGACAACTACTCGGTTTAGAGGGATTTTTTTCTTATAAATACTAGAATGTTGGCTTTCCATTTTCATCACATTCTCCTTGTAATATCTTCACCCAACAGTTTTTCTATCTTACCCTTCCAACAACTCCAATGACCTCAGTTATTCTCCCCCCTCACATGAAACCTTATCAAAAATGTTTCTTAGGTATTATGACGCTAGTAATAATGTGGTTAAGTCTAATATGTTTGGTCATCAATTATAGGTATTATGGCGCTAGTGGTAATGTGGTTAAGTCTGAAATGTTTAGTCATCAATTATTGAATGACAACCTAAGGGAGCATTTTACATTAGAGCCTTGTCCATTTTTTTAATAGCAACACACATTTATTATCATTGACATTTGATTCATTTTTTAAAAACAATACACTTTATGAGAGACACGCCACACATTCATTCAAAACTTTAAAGTGATGTGTGTGAGAGTTCTCTGACTTAAAAAATGTCAACTCTGCGTTTTTCTAATCTATGTGAAACTTCTTCGTACTTTATTTCTAAAGACTTCCAACTCACACGTGTTTTTCTCATAATGATATCCAGAGGAGAAATGGGGATTGTGGCGCCGTTGTTGAGAGAGCTCAAGGTGGGCGAATGGCAGAGTGAAATGAAATTTTGTAAAAATGGAAATATTTGAGAGTTTCAATAGGTGTTCAAGTAGTTATGATAGTGACTTTTGACACATGTACAACCGTCTTATGAGACAAAGTGGCGAATATTGACTCTTTGTTCAACAGTGATGCAAGGTAAAATCTTTTCATAAAAATTTGTTTATATCATTTACCGAAAGAGAAGATGATGCTTTACTGGAGTCCTGCGTGAGGGCGAGAAGCCATTTTTTCTCTTATCAAATGAGAAGATCCTTCTTCTTTTAGTGATTATCTCAGTAACCTCCTCAAGTATAGATTGTATCATTTTCTCTGATTTCGTCAAACTGATTAAGAAAGGTGATGGGATCAATTATTTCAGAAACTCAATCGGCTTTTATAGTAGGGAGACAAATCCTGGATGGTATTTTAATTGCTAATAAAGTAGTTGACGAAGCAAAACGAAAGAGAAAAGAAGTGATGTTGTTTAAGGTGGACTTCAAAAAGGTTTATGACTTGGTCGATTGGAATTTTCAGGAAATCGTGATGAGTAAGATGGGTTTTCATGAGAAATGGAGGAGGTGGATTTCCGAGGGGTGGGTATAAAGAATTTGAGAGTTTTTAACACAGCTCTATTAGGCAAGTGGGTCTGGAAAATTAGGAAGGAGAGAGATGGATTATGGTTTAAAATTCTGAACGAAAGATACGGTGGAAATGATGGAATCTCTAGAACAAGCGATGCTAAGAGTTCATTGTGGTGGAGAGATATTTGCCAATTAGATATAGGAGAACATGAAAACAGAGATGAGTATTCAGTGAAGGAGATGTATAAAAGGGCACGAGAGGATATTAGAACAAATAGTAGTAAACCATGGACACTAGTATGGCATAAATTGGTCCCTTCAAAATTTTCAGGCTTAGTGTGGAGGTTTTTCCGTAACAGACTTCCAACCAAAGATAATCTAATTAGAAGAGGTGTCTTAGCCCAGGCGGAATCTTAGTGTGTGGGTGGGTGCAGAAACGATGAATCTGCTTCTCATCTATTCTTTGAGTGCCCTCATTTTGCAGGTGTATGGGAACACATCGTTAAATGGTTTAATCTGTTTGCTGTGTTCCCTAAAGAATGTTGGGAACATGTGGATCAATTCGGAGCCCTTTTAGACGGTTGCAGAAAATCGATCAACAGAGTAAGAGTTATCTGGTTAGCAATCATTTGGTGCATCTGGAAAGCAAGAAATAACAGCATTTTCAAAAACAAGGTATTCGAAGATGTCCAAAGAATCTCTTGGTACTGGTTGAGCAAAAACCATAATTCAATAGCATTCAATCTGGCGCAATGGTATTTGAATCCAAGGCTTATTCTTGGATAGGACCTGCCGCAGAGTTCTTATTGGCATTCTGCACATCAGACTAGAAGACTCCTGTTAGTATGTAATTGGTGGTACAGAGATATTGGCTTTCTAATAGAGTTGCAGGACCAACCGTCAAATTGTGGAGTTTAGGTGGTAAAGATTGTTCAGAAGGGCCAGGCGAAGCAACTGATGTCGCATAGGTCAAGCTGTTTATCAGATTTGGTCCCTAGCAGGGCTGTTGGATTTGAAAAAATTTCCATGCAAATCATGAACTGTAGGCTGTATTGGTTTATTCTTGGAAAGATGGATGTGGGGTTCTGTTGGTGGGGTCTAGTGGGAAGCAAGATTGCTGAGTTTTTTTAAGGCTTGTTTGGCTTAGGAGTATTCAGTAAGACAGCATTTATGCGTCACCATTGTATAATTTGGTTCTCTCTTGACACTCCTTGTGCTAAGAATACAATATATTTTAACTGAACAACAGGTGTCTTCACAAGTATTGTGCTACACACATGTTGGGCTAGGACACACCTTAAAACAGTTGTATCCTCATCCAAAAGCATGTTCTCCAAACCTTCTTTCATCTTTCCTTTCTTTAAAAACAAAACATCTTTGACACCATGAATAGCAAAAGAGAAAGAAATAAATATTGTACATATGACAAAGAAGAAATGAGACAAAACAAAACAGATCAAAATCTGTACATTATTTATCTGTCACCACTTGATAAGTGGTGTGTGACCTTTTGACAAAACTATATAACAAGAAAAATATGTACATGATGAATAATAACTTTATCTTTTGTCAAACCAAAAATTAAACTCGGTACACCATCCCAACTTCTAAAGATGATGCATGAGGTACACCAAGTACAAAGGAGGGTGTGCTCTACTATTCCTCCTTATAAATTCATACACAAAATTTATAGCTATTTTCTTTATAGTACTAGACCCTGGTTTAGCTTTCATGTATGAATGTCCTATAATGTAAGCTATATTATTATTATTATTATTATTATTATTATTATTATTATTATTATTATTATTATTATTATTATTATTATTATTATTATTATTATTATTATTATTATTATTATTATTATTATTATTATTATTATTATTATTATTATTATTATTATTATTATTATTATTATTATTATTATTATTATTATTATTATTATTATTATTATTATTATTATTATTATTATTATTATTATTATTATTATTATTATTATTATTATTATTATTATTATTATTATTATTATTATTATTATTATTATTATTATTATTATTATTATTATTATTATTATTATTAATTAT